CTGAGCTAAATCCCCAGCCCCAAGAACCTGTATTCTAGTAAAATGGAAAACACAGAAGAAATGGACAGATTCCTAGACACATATGAACTACAAAACTGAATCAAGAAGATATAAAAATTCTAAATAAATCAGTATCAATCAATTAAATTTAAAATGTAATTAAAAACCTACCAACAAAGAAAAGTCCAGGTCCTGACAGATTTACTGCTAGATTCTACAAGAAATTTAGAGAAGATGTAATGCCAATATTCCTCAAACTCTTTAATGAAATTGAAAGGGAAGCAATGCTCCCTAACTTATCCTGGAGGCAAGCATTACCCTGATACCAAAACCAGAGAAGAACCTAACTAAGAAAGAATTACAGGCCAATCTCCCTAATGAACATAGATGCAAAAATCCTCAATAAGATACTGGCAAACAGAACACAGCAAATCACTAAGAAGATTCTACACCATGACCAAGAAGGATTCATGTCAGAGATGCAGTAATGGTTCAATATACACAAATCAATACATGTAATACATTATATTAACAGAACCAAGGAAAAAAAACCCATATGACCATTTCAACAGATTCAGAAAAAGCATTTGATAAAGTCCAATACCTTTTCATGATAAAAACCCTTCAGAAAATTAGAATAGATGGTCTTTATCTCAATCTGATAAAAGCCATCTATGACAAGCCAGAAGTCAACATCATACTAAATGTACAAAAACTGAAAGCTTTCACTTTAAAATCACTAACAAGATAAGGATGTCCACTATCACCACTCTTATTTAATATAGTTCTGCAAACATGAGCCAGAGCAATTAAACAAGAGAAAGAAATAAAAGCAATAAGGATAGGAAAGGAAGAAGTTAAAGTATCATTATTAGCAGATGACATGATACTCTACATAGAAGACCCCCAAAACACCAAAAGACTTCTAGATTTAATAGCCAGATTCAGTAGTATAGCTAGATACAAAGTGAACACTCAAAAATCAGTAACTTTCCTATACACAAATAACAAACTCATTGAGAAAGAAACTAGGAAAATAACACCTTTCACAATAGCATTCCCCAAAAGTGAAATACCTAGGACTTAATCTAACAAAGGAAGTAAAAGATGTATACATTAAAAACTACAGTACTCTGAAAAAGATCAAAGAGGATATCAGAAAATGGAAACATATCCCTTATTCTTGGATAGGAAAAGCCAATAAACTGAAAATGGTCATACTTCCAGAATTGTTATACAGATTTAATGCAATCCTGATAAAATATCAATAGCATATCTCACAGAATTAGAGAAAACAATCCTAAAATTCATTTGGAACCAGAAATACTTAGAATAGCAAAAGAAATTCTTGGCAAAAAGGGCAAGTCAGAAAGCACATAATCCCTGACTTAAAATTATACTACAAAGTTACTGTGATAAAAACAGCATGGTACTGGTTAAAAAAACAGAGCCAAGGATCAATGGAACAGATTAAAAGATGCAGAAACAACTCCAAATAGACTCAGCCACCTTACCTTTGACAAAGGAGCCAAACATCTTCTCTGGAAGAAAGACAGCCACTTTAATAAATGATGCCGGGAAAACTGGCTTTTCCACATGCCGAAGATTAAAACTAGACCTGTATCTTTCACCATGCACTAAACTAAAACAGAAATGGGTCAAGATCTAAGTATTAAAACAAACGCTAAACCTGCTGTAAGATAGAATAGCTTGGACTCTTGAAGACACTGGTACAGGCAAAGACTTTATGAACAAAACCCTGATCACACTGGAACTATCACAAAGAATCAACAACTGGGATCTCACTTTCTTAAGAAGCTTTTGCACCACCAAAGAAACCACCAACAGAGTGAAGAGACAACTCACAGAATGGAAAAAAATTGCCAGCTGTTCCTCAGACAAACCACTACTATGTAGAATATATAGAGAACTCAAAAAAATCAGACACCCCCAAATTTAAAGAGCTATACCAAAAATGGGCATCTGAAATGAATAGATACTTCTCAGATGAAATACAAATGGCAAATAAACATGAAAAAATGTTCAACATCACTACATATTCCAGAGATGCAAACCAGAACAATGCTGAGATTTCATCTTACTCTACAAAGAATGGCTATTATCAAGAAGCCAACCAATCCAGGGCTGTGGGGAAAAAGGAACCCTTCTCCATTGCTGGTGGGAATGTAAACTGATGCAACCACTGTGGAAATCAGTATGGACACTCCTCAAAAAACTAGGACTAGTGTTTCCATTAGACCCCATTATTCCCCTTCTTATCTTCCCAAAAGAATTAAAAGCGTCATAGCACAGCAATATATGCACTCCTGTTGATAGTGGCACAGTTTGTAACAGCTCAATCTTGGAGACAGCCCAAATGCCCATCAACTGATGAACAGATGAAGAAAATGTGGGGTTTTTTTTAATACAATGGAGTACTATCCTACCATAAAGAAGAATAAGCCTGAGACATTTCTAGCTAAACGGATGCACCTTGAGACCACACTCCTAAGTGCAATAAATTGGACACACCTTTATACCACATTGTTTCTCTGGTGTGAGAAACCAAAAGTATAAAGGTGGACCAAATGTGTAACACATGTTGGGAAATGGGAAGGAAATGCTCAAATGGGAGGGGGGCATGAAAAGAGGGAGAGGGGCAAGGAAAGAGGGAGGGGAGCAAGGAAAGGGGGGGAACAAGGAAAGTGGGGGAAGGAAGGAAGGAAAGGACAAAAAAGAGAACAGAAGAAAAAATGGAAACAAAGCTTTTGTAAATAAGGAGGGGAAGAGGGGTTGAAAAGAGGGGAGGGGAGTGGGTGTAAAAGAAACAAGGATATGTCCAGTACAGATACAAATTCCCTATGATGAATGTTATCATTATGTATCTCTAAAACACACCAATAAAATTTTTAAAAAGAAAAAAGCTAAAATGAATTATATAGGGCTGGGGATATAGCTCAGCAGCACAAGCACCTGCCTGACAAGAGCAAGGTCCCAAGTTCAATTCCCGGTATAAAAAAAAAAAAAAAAGAATTATATAAATATCCTTCCAAACTATTAAAAAAAAGTAAAGAGTACTGTGAACCAACAAGGCACCCAAGTAGAACTCTGGGCCCAGTGGTTTAGACGCAGTGACCAGGCTCTGAGTAGCACAATTTTGTTAACTGAAAAAGTGGAAAGCTGGACAAACTTGTTCCTGTTCACTTGTAGATCAGAGTATGATCT